GTCCACTGAATTGTGAAAAAGGCTGAGATTTGGAAGCTTGAGATAAATCTACTGGAAAAAAGCCACAGAAAGATAAAAGTGATGTTACTTTACAGAATTAATATAGTAAATTGTCAACTCATTTATTCAACAAATACTTCTAGAGTACCTAGATGTTCCTATGCATTGTTGTCAGTGCGGGAGATAGAGACACAGCTAAAACAGACAGGTTCTTTGCCTTAAGAAGCTTATATCTCAGTGGGGAGAGGTAATCAATGAAAACATATAAAACAGACAAAAAAAAAAAAAAAAAAAACCAAGAAAATACCAGGCAGTGATAAGCACTATTTAGAAAACAAAGTAAAATGATATCATTGAGAGAAATATAAATAAGGATAATTTATGTTGAGTGTCTCCATGAGAAGGTGACTTGAGAATTGGGTTTAAAAAGAAGTTATGAGTAAAGTTCTTTGTGAAGAGCGTTCCAGACAAAAAAGGAACTGCTAATGTAGAGCCCAAAGTGAATAGGTTCAGCGCATCCCAAGAAAAAAAAGAGAAGGTCAATGTGCCTAAAACAATGATTTAGAAATAGCGGCTGGGGCCAGAACAGGTAAGGCCCATAGGCCTGCAAAGGCATTGAGTTTTTTACTATCTGCAATATCAAGTATTTAAAACAAAGGAGTACGATGATCTAATTTTTACATTTAAAAAATCTCTCTAGCAGAAATGTGGACAGTGTTTCTTGGATGTCAAGAATAAAAGGAAGGGGATTTTTTAAAGAGATGATTGCCAAGATGGGAATCAATAGTGGCCTCGGCTAGAATGGTAGCAGTAGAAACTGAGGGACTAGGGATATGTTTATGATGACAAGATTTGCTGATGAATAAGATGTGGAAAAAGAGTGAAAGAGAAAAATTATTCTGATGATTCTAAGCTTTTGGGCATAAAGGAACCTTTCACAACTATGGGAAAATTTAGAGGAAGAACAGACTTTGGAAGGAGGATCAAGAGTTCTATTTTGAACATGTTAATTTTAAAATGCCTATTTGACATCCAAGGAAATATGTCAATTATTTATATATAAGAATCTGAAAGTTATAGAATAGATAAGGGAGAGTAAATTTGGGAGTTATAGAGGGTATGTTCCCTAAAGGAGAAATCATAAGTTATGAGTCCCACTAGTATAGAGTAGAAATAGCATGTAAGTTCTGTATCAGTGTATTTATATGCTGAACTATGCATTGAAAAGATATTTAGATCCATCTCTCAAGAGAATTTGAATCTGAATGTCCCACTTTTTATTCGTAGCATAGTCTTACAATGGCAGTACACTGTAATGTACTGCTTTGGTCATAAGGGGGAGTGTTTGGGTTGTAGTCTTGTAGTCATCAATGGATACGTCAATGTCATATCCCTAGGTCAGAGAATGTACTTGAAACCACATCCCAGCTATAACAGCCTAACATGGAGACCCTTATGTACCACTTTCTTTCTGCTGATTGTTGATTTAAAACTTAACCTTCCATATTAAATCATCTGACAGTAGCAATTATCATTTTTATTTTTTCAATTAATTAATTAATTTTGTATCCTCACCCAAGGATTTTTTTTTGCATTCATCTTCAGATAGAGCGAGAGGAAGAGAAGGAGGAAGAGAGAGAGAGAAACATCGATGTGAGAGAGACACATTGACTGGCTGCCACCCACACAACCCCATCCAGGGTTGGGGACAAACTGCAACTGAAGTACATGCCCTTAGCGGGAACCGAACTCCGGTCTCTCTGCACTGAGGGCTGATGCTCTAACCACTGAGCAAATGGCCAGGGTGCAAGTATCATTTTTAAAATAAATGGAAACAGATATTTGTTTATATAATCCAGTTTCATAAACTAATGGTTTTAAATGAGGTTATATTAATGTTAATATCTTTGAATGTTGCTATTCCTCCCCTGATTCAGGACCCCTCACACCACGAGCAAGTGAATGGCTACTTTGATTTGTAGGTTTTTTTCCCCCTGATTATTAATAAGTGTGAGCTTGTCTTCATATATTTATTAGCCATTTAAGTTTTCCCTTCTGTGAAGTTCTTGTGTATATCTTCATGTGATTTCTGGTTGGATGTCTATATTTGCAGAAATTATTTATATCCCAGTTTCTTTACGATACTAGGTATTGATTACTTCTCCCTATATGTCATTACTCTATGAAATTTCCCAGTTACATAATTAAAAGAACAGAAGTTCTTAATGCTTTAGTATTTTTAAATCTGTCACATTTTTACCTAATACTTTGAGTTTGATGTCTTATTTAAGAAGTCCTCATCCACCTATGTTCATAAAAATATTTATTAACTTCATATTTTTCTATTTCATATTTAGGTCTTTAAAACTTTGTTCATAATGAAGAATTGTATGTAGAGTTAATTTTTATCTTATAATGAGCTAGATTTCCTAACACCAGTTACTATAAAATCTGTTTTTTCCTTACTGATGAACTCTATTTTCAGCTCTCACAGGCATAACTTATATTTCACTGTTTATTTTTGTTTCTTCATAATTGCATATAGTTTTTATTCCTGTCATCTTTTGTAATATGATAAAATGTAGTAGAGAGTGATTTCTTTATTTTGTTTTGTAACTTGACATATCACTTCAGGGATACACATACACCTACAACATTAAATAGACTTAAGTTCTTAAAAATACAGCTGGAATTTTGATTAGTCTTACATTGAATTTGTCAAGTAATATAATTTGGGGAATATTGATATCTTTACAGAGTAATTTGCTCTCCCCCCCATATAAATGTTCTGCATTTATTCAAGAGTTTCTAAATGTCATTTAAGAAAGTTTAAAATTTTTCTCTCTGTAGGTTTTGTGTAATTTTCACAAAGTTAATTCCTTGGTATTTGTTCACTATAATAATAAATGCTTTCTTTCTTTTTAAATAAACATTTATACCTGCTTATTATTATTTTAGGAACAGTTCTGGATTTTATAAATTAACCTGTATTTGGAAACTGCTAAATTCTATTAACAAAGTTCTTCTGTTGCTCTAATAGTTTTTCATGTAGATGATCATCTCTCTCTTGCACATAATAACATTTTCTGCTTCTTTGTAAAATATAAAATAGCAAAAACAAGTTATATTTGTTTTCTTTCTGAATTTAAAGTCCATGTCTAAAATTTCTCTAAGTATGATATTTGGCCATTAAGTATATTATCAAGTTTTAAAAGAGTTTTATTAATTACATTTTCTGTGGCTTTATCATATATAGGTTGTTGAACTTAATTTTTTGTACTTGTTGACATAGTCATGCGAATTTTCCATAGTAGTCCAGTAATATAATAAATTAGATCGACTGATTTTCTAATATTAAACCATTCTGGAAAGTTTATTTATAAGTAAAACTGGAAACCTGGCCAGTTAGACTCAGTGGTTAGAGCGTTGGCCACGGGACCAAAGAGTCACGGGTTCAATTCCGGTCAAGGGCACATACCTCCCTTGAGGTTCAGTTTCCAACCCTGGTCGAGGTCGTGTGAGAGGCAACCAGTTGATGTGTCTCTCTCATATCGATGTTTCTCTCTCTCTCCCTCCATCCCACTCTGTCTGAAAATAAATGAAAAATTATCCTCAAGTGAGGATTAACAAAACAAAAAAGGACTATAATTTTAATTTTTGAATTATTTTTTTCCTGGCTTTGAAATAAGTATTTTAAATAAAGATTTTGAAATTAACACAAATCTAAAAAAAAAGAGGTTATTCATTTACTATTTCTCCTTTTAGAAACATGTACATATAACATAGAGATTTCTATTCCTTAACAATCTTCTGGGTCTATGGATTTTTTGGCAAGGGAATTTTTGTTATTGAAATTTAGTTGCTTTTAAAGTGTTTGGCTTTTCAATTCAAAACATTTAGGCTTATTTTTATCATTTTATTTTTAATTTAAATATTTTTATTATGGTAAACATTTAACATGAGCTCTATCCTCTTAATAAAATTTTAAGCATAAAACAGAGTATTGTGGATTAGTAGTACAATGCTGTACAGCAGATCTCTAGAACTTATTCTTGTTGCTTAACTTATGCCTATTGATCAATAACTTCCATTTCTCCCCTTCTCCAGCCCCTGGAAATGACCATTACACTCTGGTTCTATGAATTTGACTATTTTAGATACCTCACATAATTAAAATCATGCATCATTTGACTTTCTGTGATTGGATTATTTTACATAGCATGATGTCCTTGAGGTTCATCTATGTTGTCACATTTTGCAGAATTTTCTCTTTTTAAGGCTGAGTAGTGTTCTGGTGTATACATATGCTGCATTTTCTTTATCCATTCATTTGTAGATGGATAATTAGGTTGTTTCCACACCTTGTCTACTGTGCATAGTGCTGCAATTAACGTGGGAGTGCTAATATTTCTTTGAGATTCTGATTTCAGTTATTTTGGTTAAACACCCAAAAGTCAGATGGGTCCTGTATAGTTCTACTTTTAATTTTTTGAGAGATCTTCATACCATTTTCCACAGTTTCTGTACCATTTTGCATTCCTACCAAGAGCGAGCAAGGATTCGAATTTCTCCGCATCCTGGCTTGATCTGTTTGTCTTTATTTTTTCTTCAAGATCTAAGAACTCTGGAACTTGTTAACAAGAAGAATACTCATCCTCAATGCCAAGTAGAAGGGAATTCCTCACAGTAAAGGGGAGAAAAAAGTCACATCATGAAAACAGAGCTTTTTACAGAATTTATTGCTTGAATATATAATTTGATCCTGGATAAAAATAAATGCATAGAGAGAATAAATGGTGATGGAAAAATAAAATAAAATTAAAGAAAATTTTAATAAAGAAATTAATGTACAAAAAAATCTCTTAAAAATGTTATGAAAAGATGCTTAATAGAGGCATTTCTGACCAAACTGTAAATGCTACCTGCTCTGTGCGCCTGCACAGGCGAGGACGGGGGCGGCAGGGGGCAGAGGAGGAGCGAGACGTGCAGTGGATCAGGAGGTGGGCGCAGTAGCAGGAGCTGCTGCGCAGTCTTGGTCCGGCGTGAGATCCCCTGGGCTTTCTAGCAGAAGCCGGTCACCCTGCTCTGCCAGGATCGAGGATGGAGAGGCGGGTGAGCGGAGCCAGGCATGGGAAGGAGGGCGCAGGGTGGGCAATGTCGCACTGGTGGTCTAGGGCGGTGGCGGGCTGAGTGCGCCAGGCTGCGGCTCCCACCATTCTGGTCTGGGGCTGGGTTTTCTGCTTGCGCTTTCCTCTTAGTGCTTAACCTTGCTGAGAAGAGGCTTTTGCTTCCCAAAGGGTGGGCTCCAGGCCTCCTAACAATCTGGTTTTCTGTTTCAATGCCTTGAAGAAAGGATACAAGAGGCGGCGGCTCCACCAGATCATTGTTATCATGGGATTGGAACTGGGCCGGGAGGCGAGGGTCCTCTAGGCAGCCTGGGGGTGGGTGTAAGGGGCAGGCTCACGGGCTCTGGCTGGAAGGCTAGGAAAGCACATTCTGTTTTAAACCGCCCCCACCAAAGGGGTTATGCGGGTGCTGTTTGGCTCCGTGTAGATACCAACAACTGGGGTGGGGCTGTAGAGCTGGCCCCGTCCTGGATGCTCTAGTCTTTTTCTTCTGGGTCCTTGCTTGGGAAGCCATAAAGGATCAGATAAATCAGGGTTAAAACCCAGGGTATTTAGGAGAGACAGACATTTTGTGTATTCAGGATCTGTTTACGAGACACAAAACAAAGGGGGAGATTTTCATTTACAGTGATATAATTGATCAAAAAATTACAATTAATAAAAAAATTATAATCCAAATACAAGGAATGCCTCCAGGTAATTGTTTTCCTATACAGTTTATTGGCAAGACCACTCAGCTAATTATGGGGCTACCTTTCTTAACAAAGGAGAATGGTGGCCATTGAACGAATGTTTGCTGTGTGTCAGATGCTCTTAATCTTTATACTACCCTTCGCAGGAAGAATGATTACCTGAATAAACAAATAAAGAAAGAGGCAGAGAGGTTAATTTTTCCAAGTCCATGTGACTACATGTGGGGAAATCAGAATTTGGACCTAGGAATTTTCAGGAGAAGAAGTATGAATGGGGGCAATAAATCTGCCAGGTGGGTAGCTGTCAGGTGAGACCCAGTCCTCTGTGAAACCTGGTCTTCTTGCCAGGGGTAGAAGAGGACTTCTTAATTTCCATTATTGTATTCCCTGTATATTTGAATATACAGGGATAATGATTTTTTTTAGCTACCTAATATATATTGGCATTTACTGTATCTTAAGCACTGTATTAAATGCCTGAAATGCTCAATTCTCATAGTAACCCAGTGAGATAACATCATTTATTTATTTTTTACCCTCCTCAATATTAGCTGTTGTATTTTAAAATTATAGTTAATATTTAGTATTATTTTATATTTGTTTAAGGTGTACAGCGTAGTGATTCGACATTTATATACTTTATGAAGTGATCACCCTGATGATTCTAGTATGTACCTGGCAAAATACATAATTATTACATTATTATTGACTATATTTTCTATGCTGTACTTTACATCCTCATGACTGTTTTGTAACTGCCAATTTATATTTCTTAATTGTTTCACCTTTTTCATCCAATCCCCTAATCCTCCTCCCCTCTGGCAACCATCAGTCTTCTCTATCTATGAGTACATTTTTGTTTGGTTCATTAGTTTATTTTGTTCTTTAGATTTCACATATAAGTGAAATCATATGGCACTGGTCTTCCTCTGACTGCCTTATTTCACTTAGCATAGCATCTTCTAGGTCCATCAATATTGCCGAAATGGTAAGATTTCAATTCTTTTTATGGCTGAGTAATATGTATATATGTATCACCATTTTTTATCTACTCTACTATTAATGGATGCTTGCCTTGCTTCCATATTTTGGCTATTGCAAATAATGTTGCAACAAACATAGAGGTGATATATTCTTTCCATTTAGTGTTTCGGATTTCTTCAGATATATTCTAGGTCATAAGGCAGTTTCACTTTCAATTTTTTTTAATTGAGACCCCATACTGTTTTCCATAGTGGCTGCACCAGTCTGCATTCCCACCAGCAATGCGTGAGGGTTCGCTTTTCTTCACATTCTCACCAACACTTGTTGTTTGTTGATTCATTGATGATAGCCATTCTGATATATGTGAAATAATGTATCATTGTGGTTTTATTTTTTTAATCCTCACCTGAGGACATGCTTAGAGAGAAGAAGGGGTAGAGAGAGAGAAACACCAATGTGAGAGGGAAACATCAATTGATTGCCTTCACATGCTCCTCAACTGGTGATCAAACCTGAAACCCAAGTGTGTGCCCTGACTGGAAATTGAACAGTCAATGCTCAAAAAACTGAGCCATTCCAGCTGGCAAAAATATGTTTGTTTGTTTTTTAGACTGATTTTAGAGAGAGGAAGGGAGAGGGAGAAAGAGACCCCGACAGGGGATTGAGCCTACAGCCTGCACATATGGCTGGACCAGGAATCAAACTGGGGACCCGTCACTGTACAGGATGACTATCAACAAACTGAACCACATGGGCCAAGGCTTCACTGTAGTTTTATTTTGCATTTCTCTGACAATTAGTAATGTTGAGCATCTTTTCATATGTCTGTTGGGCATCTATATATCCCATTTGGAGAAGTGTCTATTCAGGACCTCTGCCAACTTTTAATTGGATTATTTGGTTTTTTTTTTAGTTTATTCTTGTGTCTGATGTAAGAAAGTGGTCTATATATATAGATTTAATATATATATATTTAATTTTTCCAATGCCATTTATTCAATAGACTGTATTTACCCCATTGTATATGTTTGCCTTCTTTGTCATATATTAATTGACTGTATAAGAGTGGGTTTATTTCTGGGCTCTCTCTTCTGTTCCATTGATCTATGTGTCTGATTTTGTGCCAGCACCATGCTGTTTTGATTACTTTAGCCTAGTAGTATAGTTTGATATTAGGTAGCATGATACCTCCAACTTTGTTGAGATTAAGATTGCTGTGGCTATTCGGGATCATTTGTGATTCCATGTAAATTTTTGGATTATTTGTTCTAGTTCTGTGAAATGTCATTGGTATTTTGGTAGGAACTGTATTGAATCTATAAATCCTTTGGATAGTATGAACATTTTAACAATGTTCATGCTTTCTATCCATAAACACAATATATGTTTTCATTTATTTGTTTCTTCAGTTTCCTTCTTCAATGTTTTAAAATATTCTGAGTACAAGTCTTTTACTTCCTTGGTTAATTTATTTCTAGGTATTTTTTTTTTTATGCAATTGTAAATTGGATCATTTTCTTAATTTCTCTTTCTAATAGTTCAATATTGGTGTAGAAAATGCAACAGATTTCTGGGTATTAATTTTGTATCCTACTACTGTACTGAATTAATTATCAGTGCCAGTCATTTTTTTGCCATAATCTTTAGGATTCTTTGTACATAGTATTATGTCTACAAATAATGACAGTTTTACTTCTTTCTTTCCAATTTGGATGCCTTTTATTTATTTTTCTTGTCTGATTGCTGTGGCTAGGTATTCAAATGTTATAGTGAATGAAAATGCTGAAAGTGGACAACTTTGTCTTGATCCTGTTCTTAAGGAAAACACTTTTAGCTTTTTCCTATTGAGTATGATGTAACTGTGGGTTGTCATATAAGACCTTTATTATGTTGAAGTATGTTCCCCTCAAGTCCTATTTTGTTGAGAGATTTTATTATAAATGGATGCTAGATTTTGTCAAATGATTATCCTTCATGCATTTAAATAATCATATGATTTTTATCCTTTATTTTGTTTGTGTTGTGTTTCATGTTAATTTATTTGTGAATATTGAACTTACCTTACACTCCCAGGAATAAATGCCACTTGATCATGGTGTATGATCTTTTCAGTGTATTGCTGAAATTGGCTTGCTAATATTTTGTTGAAGATTTTTACATCTAAGTATGTTCTTCAGGGATATTGGCCTATCATTTTCTTTTCTTGTAATGTTTTTGTCTGGTTTGGAATCAGAGTAATATTGGCCTTGAAAAATGAGCTTGGGAGCCTTCTCTTAAATTTTTTGGAATAGTTTGAGAAGAGTAGGTATTAATTCTTCTTTGAGTGCTTGGTAAAATTTACCTGTGAAACAGTATGGTCAAGGACTTTTGTTTTTGTGGAGATTTTTTATTACTAATTCAATTTCATTGGCAGTAATTGGTCTGTTAAGATTTTCTATTTTCTCTTTATTCAGTCGTAGAAGATTGTATGTTTTTAGAAATTTATCCATCTCTTCCATATTGTTCAATGTGTTGGCATATAATTGTTCATAGTATTTTCTCATAATTCTTTGTATTTCTGTAGTGTCCGTTTTTATTTCTCTTTTTTTATGATTTTATTTGAGTCCTCTATCTTTTTTTCTTCTTTTTAGAAAATCCTCACCTGAGGATATTTTTTCATTTATCTTCAGATAGAGTAGGAAGGAGGAGGGAGGGAGGGAGGAAGGGAGAGAGAGAGAGAAAAAAACATTGATGTGAGAGAGATACATCAACTGGTTGCCTCTCGCATGACCCCAACCAGGGCTAGGGCCCAAACTGCAACCAAAGTACATGAGGTACATGCCCTTGACAGGAATCAAACCTGCAACTCATTGGTCCATAGGCCAATATTCTCACTAAACCAAACAGTCTGGTTAAAAGTTTATCAGTCTTATTTATCTTTTCTTATCATTGATCTTTTGTATTATTTTTAGATTCTATTTTATTTATTTCTACTTTGATCTTTATTATTTTCTTCCTTCTACTTACTTTGGGCTTTGCTTGTTGTTCTTTTTCTAGATTCTTTAGGTACAAGTTTAGATTGTTTATTTAAGATTTTTTTTCCTGAGGTAGGCCTGTATTGCTATGAATTTACCTGTTAGGACTGCTTTCCCCTAGATTTTGGGTTGTTGTGTTTTCGTTTTAATTTTGTCTCAAGATATCTACTGATTTCTTCTTTAATCTCATTTGTTAATCCATTTATTGTTTAGTAGCATGTTATTTAGCCTCCATGTATTTGTTTTCAGTTCTCGTCTTATAATTGATTTCTAGTTTTATACTATTGTGATTAAAA